AACGGTCCAAAACCAGTATTTGAAAGCAGGGTTGCCAACTTTGGGCACCTGGCTGGAGTGAGATTTTGATATCATGGGTTTAATTACACATATGCGCACTAAATGACTGCTATCGTGTCAGTAGCGGGACCTTAGTATGATATACAATATATACAAATACACAATATTGGACACAGACTATAAAGGGCACAAAGTTTCATTCACTATTGAAAGTCAAACACATGTTTGTTTCCACTGTTTTATTGTGTGCCTGTCGCGATAAGCAATTAATTGACTTATCGTACGATAAATAAAAATCCATCCATCCATCTTCTCCCGCTTATCCGTGGTCGGGTCGGGTAAATAAAAATGAACTCGATAAATTGCCATTTACATGAGGATGTGACTAGCAGTTTGAAAGGATGTACTTGAATTATTATTATATATTATCATTATGTCAGTGGTCTAAAATGGTCATACAACGGTGCCGACAATATTATCGTTTATCGCAATAATTTCCGGGAAAATTTATCCAACAAAATTAATGATCGTGAGAGGCCTATACATGAAACACACACACACACACACACACACACAAAACTACAGACTCACTCCAAACTGCCAAACATATTAATTAACACACTCTCACTCTCATATACTCTTTGACTCTATTTTGGCCTAGTAGAACAATAAGCAGCAGACTTTTACTTTTGATCATTTCTACTGGATCTCAGATCTGCGCAATACGGGTCGGGGATTGACCAACCGGCTCCCACTGCTCTGCTGTCCGTTAACGTTGTTAAGAGTGGTGGGGGCGGGGAGGGGGCGGATCAACAGCTTGAGCAGCTGTCAACTCAACATCGTAAATAACCAACCAAAAACGATCGCCGGTTCATCTTGTTTTTGGCGTGAGAATAGTTTGGGCAGCGTGAGAGCGTGAGATTGAGAGTGAAAGCATGTGTCACACGCCAGATGCGTGAGAGTTGGCTACCCTGTTTGTATGACATTTAAAAAGTTGCAATGAATGCTATAATACCTTGTCACTGACTAACTAGAAAATGCCCTTATCTGTGTGACTGGGGCTTTATATACTGGCGGTTATCGATCCTGATGCCAATATTGCCAACGTTAAGTAGTTATTGATGAGTGAGTCTCATTCAGAATGTATCCAGGTTCATCCCGATAGTTTTGGCTCCTCTTCAGAAACCATACCTAGTAGAGATAACATTTCTCGGCATGAGAATCTGAGTTCCCTGATCATCCATTTGAGTGATTTCTGTGTGTTCAGTGAGTAAAATGTGGCCGTGGTGGCTGTTTTCTAATGGCGCTTTTCCACTGCAGGGCCTCGCTCGGCTTAGTATGGTATGGCTAGGCCTCGTTAGGCCTCGTTAGGCCTTGTCAGGCCAGGCTCACTTTATGCTGCGTTTCCATTACAGTTTAGGAACTGGGGTAGTAACTATAGTAACGCAGTGTAGGCAGAGCCGTGACGTCATCTTCAATGAGAAACACAAAACCAGCCGTTAGCTCTTAGCACTCAGAGCTCACAGCTCTTCATATCTGTTCAGAAACTAGACACAAGTTAAACAAGTACAAACCACAGACTGTCTGTGTCATGGAGAATACAGTCGCTGCCAGTGGCGAGCCGTGACTTTTATACCTAGGCCCTCTGACCCCCCCCTCGGAAAAAAAAGAAGAGATATTACGTCACAGCGTATACTTCAGCGGAATATCAAAACAGCGGCCCGGGGTGCAAAACGCATCAATGACAGCGACCCTCTGCCACACAAAACAACACCATTTATATAAACACCTATCATGACAGGCTCCCACAGCCAAGTAGCAATTACAAATGAATTAAGTCGGCACGGCGGCCCACATTGAAAATGACTTTGGCCTACCTTTGATGATAAATCACTTAAACACACAGTCCATCCTCCTGTCCTTTTGGATGAAGCACTTGATGGCGGGTCATGCAGCTGATCCTTTGCCACTCCAGTGTATCATTGTAACTCAATCTTGAAAATGACTCGGTTAATAATTTCGCAACGATGTCATCACTATCACTGAAGTGAGCCATCATGAACGAACTTATGCTAATCATAAATCTATCGTTTAGATTTATGATTCGAAAATAATAAAAGTAGGGTAGACATGTGGATATTATCCGGCTGAACACAACGTGCATTTATCTAACAGGTTCGTTTTCCACAGACCTTATTTCAAGCTATTTTCCAAAATCCTATGGAGAAATCCCGTTGCTTTCTGTCGAGGGAATCCGAGCGCAGCTTACTTCCGGGTTTTAGGACGCGTCACTGCACCACTTGCATAGACCTCACAGCGGGCGGACTTGTCATAAAGTCCTCGAAAATAAAGCCCGCCCATTTAGAGGGAAGATATGATTGGTCAATTGTACTGTCATTTGACATTACTCTCTCGTTGAGTTACTATAGCTGGGCCCTCTGTGAATGTAGAGAGGGACCAACAAGCTCTCCCGTCTTCACATAACTCGCAGAGACGGCATTTAACCCTTCACATTCCAACAGACACTGAAAAGGCAGATTTGAAGGATTTATTTCTTTGGAAATATTATTTTAAATACAATTAAATCAAGTTATGTTGGTAAAACTAATGAAAAATGTAACAACAAAAACATATACAAAATAATATTTAATTTTTTATATTTTTTTGTTACATTACATTTTCATTGCTTTCAGAACTAATTCTATAGTTCCTCACATGTTAATAAACAAGAACATATGATTTTCATGGTCAAAATTACAATTATTCAACAATATTTGACTTCTTCTTCCTCCTGCTTCTATAACATTTTGTTTTTGGTATGCCAGCCATTTTGGATGAAAAGAAAGAGGAACTTCCCAGCCTGCAATTTTAACCAATGACATATCACTGGAAAGACCAGGATGTCCTCTGTACAGTACATCAGGGATTGATAAAGTAGATCAAAAGAGTAAAAGGAGATGCATGTTAACAAAATGTCTACTACAGTGGACATTTCCAATGGGCTGGGTCCCAGGAGGTTAAGAGATGTTTTCAGAAGATTTTAAAGCCCCCTTTCGCTCTAGCTTCAATCATTCTGTCCCATACACACCCATTATAAAATCTAAAAAGCCCTGAAAATGTCACTAAACTTAAATTGGATTTTAGGGAAACCAGTTCCTTATATCAAAAACCCTTTTAGTCCAGTAAGATAGTTTGGAGAGTAGTTTAAACCTTGGTTTACAGCACATTTTCCGTGGGCTGCTTACCCCGAAGAAAACCAGACGTTTTTCCGTACCAGACGAGGATTTTGTCTGCACTGAAAGAGCCATCTTGGATTTCAGTGTGCAGATCTTATAAATAAATCTATGTCTGCAACTCAGTCAATGTCGAGCAGAGATCTGAAATAATGTGTGCAGTGTCAGGCTTTCTGTGGTACTTTAATGCGAGCTGCAGCACAACCACAAAGCCACAGTACAACTTCCTTTCAAAGTGTGTGTGAGTGTGAACACGGTAGTGGCTGCCGCTCACTTATTACAGCTGATTTTCCTGTGGTTTCCTGCACTTAGGAGTTTGGTTTCTGCCACCGCACTCACTCCGCTTCAAAATCTCTGTCCGCAGACGATCCTTTGAAAGAAAAAGGAGAGAAAAGTTATGTTTTTCTGAGGTCTGGAGGCTGTCAATGAGCCACCTGTTTGCTCTCTCAGCCATTTCAAGCTGCACAGCACTTTCCCTCCCTTCAGTAATGACACAACACATTCGCTTTCTCACAAGCCTGAAATGGATTGGACTGAAAAGGTGGTTTTAAAACCCAAAAAAACAGTGGACTAAGTGGACTAAGAAGCATCTTAGTGGTAGATATATAAGGATATTGAACCCAGAGGCGAAGTATCCAAAGAAAATAATGAAAACTCTTTGTTCCCACATGTTGTAGATGTTCCTGTGAAATCCATTTCTTCACAAGATCAGATAAAGCTCTGATTAATTAGTCAATTGACCTTTTGTTCTTAGATTATCTTCACTATCTGTTATTCTTAAAGGTCAGGAATGAACATACATTTGTTCTGATCTTAACTCACATAAAACGTGCTGTTCTTACTTCAGATCTTGCCTCTAATACTAAAAGACAAACCAATACTTATTCTATAAAATATACAAATAAGTTTACACTAACAACACATTAAAGCCTCACTATGAACTGGACTTGCAGCGCTGACTGATCTATACTCCACCAAAACGGCTCACATCATGAAGTCATACAGAAGTATTTCCTCCTCTCACTGATCCTCGTTCAGTTTCTTTCTTGTTTTCTCACTATTACAGTATATTATCTCTCGCTATGGTTTATCAGCAGCCACGCTAAGGCTGCAGGTTGTTCGACGCAAAGTAAGAAGTCGTGGTGTGGTTCTGGGTGTTAGGGGGAAGGGCCAAGAGGGAAAAGAACAGGCAGTTAAGAAAGTCATTACCTTCAGCACATTATGGCCCGAGAAGAGCGCCATGATAATAACTTTACTTCACTGCCAGTGTGTGTGTGTGTGTGTGTGTGTGTGTGTGTGTGTGTGTGTGTGTGTGTGTGTGTGTGTGTGTGTGTGTGTGTGTGTGTGTGTGTGTGTGTGTGTGTGTGTGTGTGTGTGTGTGTGTGTGTGTGTGTGTGTGTGTGTGTGTGTGTGTGTGTGTGTGTGTGTGTGTGTGCGTGCGTACATACATAATCTGTGCGACTGCCTCCCATATCCTCCGCTTAATGCTGTCCACATCCACTGTGCAGCGCTGATAGCATAGCTTAGCCTCCAGCGAGCGCCTGTTTAGTGCAGGTAGAAATGATAGGACTTCCATTAAGAGGATGGAGCGCGTTACAAAAAGGCTTTTATTGCACAGCTGGGCTCTACTGATTCCTGATATCGCCGCACATTTACTGCCAACTTTAAACTGTTATGAATATTATTGTTGAAATAATTTGTATTCCCTATCTCTCTCTCTCCCCATCCCTTCACATTATCCCCTCCTCTCCCTATCCTTGTCACTAAAGCAACAGCATAGCAGCGTCGGCGGTGTGTGCCTTCAACCTGAGCGCCATCTCGCAGGCCTTCAACGGGCCTTTCCGCTCCCAGGAGAACCCCCGCTCCACCTGGCTGCCCACCGCCAACCCCATCCACAACTTCCAGGTCAGTTTAACCAATTAAATGAGCCCTTGATACGGCACCGGCTCATAGGCTGCAACAAAGATGGGAGACCAGACAAGTTATGTGTCACAAAAAGCGTATTTATTTACGATATAACAAAAACCAAGGACTTCAAAGACACCTAAGCAAATGTGGAAGTCAGTCATCAGTAATGTTTGCGTGTATGTGAAAATGTGCAGAAACTAAGACCGTGCCCAACAGAAGAGTGTCAGTTGGTGTTGGCCTTTTTATCTTGACAGCCCAGGTGCTTTATGGGTTTTCCCCTTTCCTGTAGTGTGTAATATAAGTTTTAGTGCATGTAAATGGTCTGCTAAGGCTAAAATCCCTGTGTTCCCCCAGTGGGAGTTTCTCTCACACACATTAAAAAAATAGATAGTCCAAATGCTAGAAGAAGATGGATCCAGGTGAATGTCAACAATCCTCCAGCTAACCAATCAGAGCAGACTGGACTCTGGTTTTAGACAGAGGGTGAGAAGAGGTGCTGCTGTGTCAAATAACTGACAAAGCCATTTCATATTTGCAAAGACGTTGCTTTAACTGTAAGAAACGATCCAACAATTGGTCGATTTCTTTCTAAGAAACAAGTCCACAGTCCAGTCCAGGCGCTTGTCGAAAGAAAACTGGAAGAATGTTTGCAAAATATAGTGATTACTACAGTTTCTGCGAAAAGATATAATAATATATTTTATTTCTATAGCGCTTTTCTTGAACCCAAAGACGCTTTACATTTGGGAGGGAGGGTAGACAAACAAAACTAAAACAAAAACAAACAAAAACAGAAAAGCAGTCAGGAGGAAGTTGGTTGAGAGGGGGGGGGGGCTTATGGATGCAGAGTTGAAGAGGTGGGTTTTGAGGCGGGACTGGAACAGGGTGAGGGACTCAGACTCACGGAGGTATTGGGGGAGGGAGGTCCAGAGCTTCGGGGCTGCCACAGAGAAGGCTCTATCCCCGAAGCTCCGGAGTTTGGCCTTGGGGATGGAAAGCAAACCGGCTGAGGTGGATCTGAGGGACCGGGTGGTTGGTAGAGGATGAGAAGGTCAGCGAGGTAGGGGGGGGGCAGATGGTGGAGGGCTTTGAAAGTGAAGACCAGCCAATTAAATCCAATTAAATTTAAATCAAGCCACAATCTCAATCAATTTCCCCCTAACAGAGGAACATTTGAGTCTCAGGAATGCCTCCTCTCCAGTTCTCGTTGTCCAACAGTCCATATTCCTTTTTTAAATATATTTCAACAACAATTTCAAGCTTAAATGTATAACCAGTTTGTGGCTCGAGCTCGCTCACTTCTTACACAGCACAGCGGGACTGAGGTTACCTTTAAGATACCGTTTAAAATTCAAAAATCATTGCTATACTTTTCAAAAATGGAGTCTACTAACAAATCAATCTCTCATTTGAAGTCCTAAAGAACGAGCAGTGCTCATCTGTGCAGCCGAAGAAAGCTTTCAGAGCCGTTTATTTGTATTCTTCTCTAGCGTCTCATCGCAGGCACATTGTTCAGTCGTTTCACACCCCAGAAAAAGTTGCAATTACTGAGAATAGAATTAAGAGTGGAAAACAAAATCTAACCCGACAGAGTATTGATTTCCTATATGCAGTAACTGTGAGGTGCTTCGCCATTGTTTCTATTTTCCAGCCTACATTTGTTCAACCTCTTCTGACACCTCACCCCGTTTCCTTTCTGTTGTGAAAATAGTGAATGTCCTCTTCCAGTATGAGAGTAGCATGATAACAAAGGTATCCCAACTGTAGCTGTGAACATGACAGGATATACGATTACCTAGAAGAGCATCAGGACTGTTTGAGGCATATGATAGCTATGTGATTAACATGATGATTCAGCCTCTATGGAGACAGACATATGACAAGCATGCTCATTTCTGACGAGGAGCTAATCTGAAGTAAACATTGCATTTTTAGGTTTTGAGAAAAAAGTCCGATTTTTGAGAAAGATTTTTGATATTTTGAGAAAAAGTCAGAATTTTGAGATTTTCTGAATTTTGAGAAAAAGTCAGAATTTTCAGATTTTCAGAAAAAAGCCAACGACTCAGTATTTTGTACATGACAGGATGTATGATTACCTAAGAACCGGCATTCCTCCATCTTGTGATTGTGTAACTCCCTCTCTTGGATATCAGCATGTGAAGGACACTGTTCAGGAACTAGTTGTGATGACTACTTCCATTCTGAAGAGGATCAGAAATACATGGATCCTGATATTGAAGCTCAAGCCGGTGACGAGTGATATATTTCTAACACTTTCCCTCCTCAGTGCGGCACTATAAACGACGAGGGTCCCAACGAGGGTCTGACGGAGCGCAGCCTGCAGGACGCCCAGAGGCTCTACCTGATGAACGACGTGGTGCAGCCGGAGTCTGTGGATCCGCTCGTCATGCAGGACGACGTGCGCTTCTCCAACCTGGTGGTGGACATCGTGCAGGGCATGGACACCCTCTACCACGTCATGTACATCAGCACAGGTGAGGGAAGGAGGGAAGGAACACAACTTATTCAAGATTCAAGGCTTTTATTGTCATTCGTAGATAGCTACAGTGTAGATATGTCAATGAAAAGCTTAGGTCACAGGCTCCTCCAGCAGTGCAACACAATAACACAGACAAAATAATTAAAATAGTGCAAGTAATACAAATAAAATAGAATAGAAATAGTGCAAGGAGAGTCTATATTGAAGTTATCTTACTACTGAATATGCATCCGGAAATTAAAGATCAAATTAAATACTGCAAGGCAAGTTTATTTATATATACATATATGTATTTATACAGCACCTTTCAACACAAGGCAATTCAAAGTGCTTTACAAAAATGAAAGACCTTAAGAGCATTAAGAAACCTATCATAAAATGGCATTTAAAAACACTCATTTAAAAGCAAAGATAATAAAACATGAATAACAGGTACATGAATAAAAGTTACAGTGCAGCGTGAGATGTGAATAGCTCAATTAAAAGCAGCGGCAAAAAGAAAAGTCTTCAGCCTGGATTCAAAAGTAGTCAGAGTTGCAGCGGACCCGCAGGTTTCTGGGAGTTGGTTCCGGATGTTCGGAGCATAATAACTGAACGCTGGTATCTACTCCCTTCTTCAGAATACGGCACCATCTTGAAGGCCCTTGCTACGCCCAATAAGAACCTGCAGGGGTGTTACCTGGAGGAGATGGAGCTCCTCCCAGCGGGGGTGCGGGAACCCATCCTGAGTCTGCAGATCCTCCACAGCGACAGGTCGCTCTTCGTCGGGCTCAACAACCGAGTCCTGAAGATCCCGCTGGAGAGGTGCTCCACCTACAAGACGGAGACGTGAGTACTGCACACAATCTGCACAATGTGGGGGAGAACTGATCCAGGAAGATCATGATACACATCCTGGCAACCCAACACTAAACCCAACACTATCCTTTCATGAAGTTTGATATGGAGATAACTTGGAAAATAGAAACCGAGGAACTGTGGAAGTAAATGTAAGTAATGTGTAAGAGGGAGAATTACATTAATGCGACATTCCACACCAAAATCAAAAATACATATTGTAGGCTACGTGGTGATAATACCCAAAACACACCCGCCAACAAGTGAGCACAAACCTCTCCACAGTGATTAGAAGCACCCTTCCTTCTGCACAGTGATGCAGATGCTTCATGAGATTTATCGAAGAGAGGGAAAGTCTGATTCTTATAAGAAAAACATTACCTCTTTCCCGGCATCTCTCTGCGCATGATCCTTGGTTTAAGTCACTAAGTTGCAAGAAAAGTGAGCGAAACTTTGATAAATTGAAGAAGCTTGGGATTCAACTGTGTAGTTCCAAGATGTTGAAATATGTCCGTCCTGTCCAGCATCAGTGGTGGGAAAGGACATGTCTGTGACTCTCCATCCTTGTTGCGTGTGAAAATCAACATAGCAGGATGGTCAGAGTGACGGCCATCTTGATATGCCTTTTATCCCGTTACTTTTGCAAAAAACGAGTAGAGTGTTGCCGTGAATTTCGATGTTCAGTGTGGTGCTTAGTGAAATGACCAAGGCAAACACTTCTATGTTAATTCTACTCTCGTTCTATTTCTATAGTGTTACGACTAAGTAAACGGGTTTGAACTCAAATGCACGACTCACACAGGTTTAAACAAAAAAGGGTTTATTCAAACCAAAGCTCAACTACAACGGTACAAAAAACGAAATCACTCTTAACGAGGAAAAACACTGGGAGAGGAAAAACACTGGGAGCATGAATGACAAATGATACTTAAAGGGGTCAGAAAATAAAACCCTCTCTCTTTTCCTCCGTACCCAAATCTCTAAAAACGGGGAACAACGGAGCTGATCCAGATTTGCGTCCGATATGACGTAATATCTGAAATGTGGACCCACGGCCCAATCAGAAACGTTGCTATCAGAAACAATGCCCGACTGTTTTGGACGTAATATGGTCGGTGTTTACATTAGCATCGCTAACACTCAGAGCTAACCTGTACTGGAGAGCATGTGTATGAAGAAGCAGGAAGTAAAAAGGAACTCACCTTGTGGTATAACCGGCAAGAGAGAAAGCCTTTGAGCTCCAGACTGTTTCAGAGAGAATCCTTGATAATCCATGATATGGCGTTTCATCACGGCAGCATTTAGTTTAGACAGTAGCTGCCGGGTCCCGCATGAGCTCAGACCCTCCTCTATTATTTCTTATCAATTATTTTATTTTTTTAAAGCTTTATCACAAAATCAGCACTTTTGAAACAGGAAGTGAAATAGAGGGATATGAGGCATGGCTAGAATGGGAGATCTGTTTGGTGTTTTGAGCAAAACACTTCATAGACATGAATATATATGTGTATATATCTGAGATCTATGCTATTGCCTAAAAATAGCATGATAGTTGCACTTTAAACAAGACGTGGCTCGAAGCTCTGCTTGGGAGTATTCCTGGCAAGATAACGCTGGTTGTTTGTCACAAAGAACGAAACGAACTGGCACAGGACAAAGGGAGACGAGGACTATAAATACACAAGGTAATGTGGAACAGGTGGAAACAATCAGGCGCGGGGTCGACAATCACAGGAGTGGGTGACACACAAGGAAGGGAGGTCAGAGTATCTGAAACGAGAGGGAAGGTTACTATTCAAAATAAAGGGGAAAGTCACAAGACAAAGACAGAACAACATAATTTGCGAGAGATGATAGACGCATGATTCTTACTCTTATTCTTTATTAGGATCCGCATTGGCACTAGCATGAACATTGGCTATTCTATCATTGAATCTTTAAGAAGTCAAATCATGGTCCTGGATCAGTTTTGTGATATAACAACATACTTAGGGTGTTTCTCAATCTCGAGTACGCTTGCTTGGTAGCACATGTCTTCCGAGCGTCTTGCTTCGGAAGCGAGGCAAGAATACTACTGATGTGTCGGTCGCGAACGAGCCGGCTCCTTTCATCAAATCAAATCAAGTTTTATTTATAGCACATTTATAAACGATTTTTGGTCGAGCCAAAGTGCTGTACATATAATAAAAATAGCCTACAGTAGAGACACTTTACAGCAAATACAACAGCACAGATTGTTCAGAATATCAGTATGAGAAAAACGACACCCTCTATCCTTAGACCCTCTGTCCTTAGACCCTCTGTCCTTAGACCCTCACATTGTACAAGGAAAAACCTCCGGAGAAAACCCACAGTTTAAGGGGAACATGGGAGAAAGCTCAGGGAGAGTGAACGACGGGAGCCGGCTCGCGCCCGCGAACGAGCCGTTTTTAGTAATACAAGACAGAATGATATGATGATCTCCGCGCTACAGCTGCTCCGTGCAGTAACATGTAATATCCAAGGATTAGAGACGGTTGGATGCTGCTGTTTTGAGCATTGCAATATATTTATTTTCACTATGTTATTTATTGATGATTATCCTTAGGCTCAGCAAAGATTTGATGTCAGCTGCTGCTGTCTTTTTTTCTATAGTTAATACTGAAATAGAGCCCTACTGTTTTGTCAGGGCCTTTTCTTTAAATATAATTTTAAAATGTCCACACAGTAGCCCCTTTTTTTAAATGTCTATGCTTAAGTTTTTATAGGTGTTGCTATCTGCTTTGTGTAGCGTGGTTCTCCAAGCAAGTCAGTGCATTCACTGGGTGGTATATCAGAGGGTTAGGGTCTGTAAATGCAATGAAAACATTTGGCCACAGCAAATCCATCCATCCATCCATCCATCTTCTTCCGCTTATCCGTGGTCGGGTCGCGGGGGTAGCAGTTCCAGCAGAGAGCCCCAAACTTTCTTTTCCCTGGCGACATCAACCAGCTCTGACTGGGGGATCCCAAGGCGCTCCCAGGCCAGCGAAGAGATATAATCCCTCCACCTGGTCCTAGGTCTACCCCTTGGTCTCTTCCCAGCTGGACGTGCCTGGAACACCTCCCTAGGGAGGCGCCCAGGTGGCATCCTAACTAGGTGCCCGAACCACCTCAACTGGCTCCTTTCGACGCGAAGGAGGAGCGGCTCAACTCCGAGTCCCTCCCTGATGACCGAACTTCTCACCTTATCCCTAAGGGAGACACCAGCCACCCTGCGGAGAAAACCCATCTCGGCCGCTTGTATCCGCGATCTCGTTCTTTCGGTCATGACCCATCCTTCATGACCATAGGTGAGGGTAGGAACGAAAATGGCCCGGTAGACAGAGAGCTTTGCCTTCTGGCTCAGCTCCCTTTTCGTCACAACGGTGCGGTAAAGCGACTGCAGTACCGCTCCCGCTGCTCCGACACAGCACAGCAAATCATTTATATTAAACATGTCATTTTTACTTTTGAATACTTCAGTATAAAGGATGTATTGAATAATATAAGTGATATACACATATACATCATTCATTAGTCAAAACAGGGCTACATTTGATTTAATTATAAAAGGTATAATATGTGGTAAACTGAAGAGCCGTTTGGGAGCCGAAAGAGCCGGCTCTTCTTGGTGAGCCGAGCCAAATGATCCGGCTCACCAAGAAGAGCCGGAATTCCCATCACTAGTAGTCGCGTATTTCCAAGTCACTTCCTTCAGAAACGAAGCAAGTATACTTCCAAGCCACAGCTTCGGAAAACGAAGAAGAATGGAACAGGCTAACAAGTGTGCCACTCTCTCTAACGGTTTCAACATAAACTGTACCGAAAATAAATACCTCACGATGTCTATCTAATTATGAACTTGCTTTACTTTCATGGAACACTTTTTTGGTGATAACAAATGTAACAAAGTAACATATTTACCAACACATGTTCTACGCCACTATACTTACATTTAAATGTGTGCTGCTTCGGTTCAGCCATTCTCCTCAAGGGTTTTTGAAATTGGTCCGTGTGCAAAGCATTGTGGGGATTTTAAGACCGGAGTCTAGTCTACACATGTGCAGCCTCGAAATTTCTCCAAACAAAGTACGCCGGGCTCGGTGGAATTCCAAGTATGCTGGACATTGGAACAGTACTTCGGCGGCACTCGATGACGTAGTATGCTTGAAATAGTGGCTCTGGAGCAGCTTTACTGGAGATTGAGAAACACCCTTAGACAGCAGGGTGCTACTACCAAATAAAGTAATGAGCCACCTGAGGTAATGTAGTCCTCGTTTAGTGAAAGCAGCCGTGCGGTATACGCAGTGTGCATTTTATTGTTCCCTTTATCCCTCTTGGCAGTGGATTCATTTTGCCCCGTTTGGTTTTCTATTGAAGGTAATTATCTGTCCTCAGCTGGGATTAATGTCCGTGACACTTCACCTATAATCATTAAAGTCCATATGGGAGCAGACAAATGAGCGGGGCGGTGTCTGCACGCAAGAGAAAATTAATTTGCTGTGTGTTTCTTTTATAGTGATGGAAGTTGTGCATAATAGAGAGAGAGAATGCTTCTGGCTTTTTGTTTGTTTCTGAATCAGAGGACAAACAAAAAGTGTTTCTCTGGAGGCACGCGTGTGTGATACAAAGACACGTAGAGAAAGAGAGCTCTGCCATCTTCAGCTTCAGTGTGATTCATGTGGAAATGTGCGTCTCGAGGGTGAGGAGGGGGAGGGGGAAAGCTCTCAGTCTGTTTGTCCAACCTTTCTGTCTCTCATCAGCGCTCTCAATCAGGATCCTCAGCCCGGCCACCTCCGTCCTTCAAAGTCAACTTCAGCTTAGCATAAATATGACTTTGTGCTATTTTCAGTGTGTGTGTGTGTGTGTGTGTGTGTGTGTGTGTGTGTGTGTGTGTGTGTGTGTGTGTGTGTGTGTGTGTGTGTGTGTGTGTGTGTGTGTGTGTGTGTGTGGTGTGTGTGTGTGTGTGTGTGTGTGTGTGTGTGTGTGTGTGTG